GATATGGACATTGAGTCATGAATCCATTTCATCCCTTATACTTACGGCACATGTATTATAACAATGTATTCAATGCTCTGATAGCACTTCCGTCGCTTCATAACGAGTTCTCTTATGTAATGATTGAATACGAATAGCTGTTAGAGATAAGCCTATTCTCGACCTAAAACTTATTGTATTCTCCAATCCATTGTCAATAATAAAGGATGCATTCGCTGCTCATCTCTATTATTCTCTAACTTTAATTTAAAAATAAAATACTATTTTATAGACTGTCTGTATATTTGTGCCTAAATTCTATATAAACAATAATTTTCTTAATGCAATTCATTTTTGGTTTAGGTTTCGATCGGATATTTGCCCAATAAGAAGGTTCTGGGTTTGAGCAAATTGGCCAGGGTGGTCGAGATGTTCAGTCGCAGGTTACAGGGTATTTGTCAATGCCTTTCATGTCATATAAACCACTATTTGCTAAATACATGCTGTAATTCAGTTCAGGAGAGAATGACTAAACAGATAGCCGTTTGCATTACTGAAGCCATACTCCCGGCGGGTGTGGGTGTTGTCATCGAAGCGACGTAACTATTATTATGGGTCTTTCACTTACATTTTCTATACAAAGCTATACTTTTATCTCCCAATCCATAGCCATATGTGTATGACTACGAGAGGAGTGCAGAAGAGTCAGAGTAAGACAATCACGAGTGCAATGCTTGGAGTGTTTCGCGAAGACTCCAAGACTAGAGAGGAGTTCCTGTCACTCATTAGACGCTAAGAATAAAGTGATTCAACAAATCATCAATTTTTTGTTGGAAATAATTACAACGGAATTGGTTTTCACGACATTATTAATGAAATTAATTAGGAATTCAATGAGTTATTAATGTATTTAATGTTACAGTTATTGGAATAAATGTTTTGTCGAATAATATTTAATGAAGGAATACATGAATGGATTTCTCACGTAAAGCATAAGAATCTCTACAAATGTTTAATTTTAAGTCCCATTTAAATGTCAATTCTCTGTAAATAAAATGTTAGAATCGATAATAAAAATATGCATTCAAAATAAATGAAACACTTTTGACCAACAAAAACAAATGTGCAAATATTTCATTGAAAATGATTGACAATTCAATTGTTTGTTTGTTATAAGGATTGAGCCGTTTGTACGGCCTTTACAGACGTTTTGGTATAAAATATTAGTCAATTTTGAAGGAATTGTTTTAAAGGGGGAGAAAACGAAACAATTTATAATTCAATGTATAAAATATGTAATTTTTTTGGTTTGAAAACAATTTTCGTATTATTATTATTATTGGGGAGACGACGACGAGAAGATGCGGATGCGGTTTGTGATCAGACTTCATATCATATTATTTATAATTTGATTATTAATACATCCAAACAATTGAGTAGAAGTAGTGCTCATGAAGTCATCATAAATACGTTTTTTGTTTCAGAAGTAGTTTTGCTATTAAAATGAGTGACGAATTCGCAGATATAATGAAGAAGTGGTTTAATGTGATAATCGATAGGTTTGACAGTAGTTGACGGAGTAGTAGGTCTTACAGTCTATTTAGTAGCCGCTAATGCATTGAGAGTAAAAATTATACAAAATAACGTTATATTATATCATTTTTAAAGGCATTTTGTTTGGCGTATAAAATGGCAATTGGTTTTTGTGGATCAATGGGTGACACAAATGATTGAATACAAAAGTGACACATTCTGTGATTGTCTCCTCAATTATCAGTTAAAATTTATATTAAATTCAATTTCTCTGAAGATTTTAATGTCTATAAAGAATGCGTCAATCAATTCAATTGATAAGACGTTATCGTGAAGTATAGATCATATCGAGTACTGTATGTATTATAACGAGCGGTCAGTGATTACGGTATGAATGGTCACAATTTATAGTCGCTTTTGCTCACCGATTGACACATGAATTAAGACTTTATAAAATGCTTTTCTTTTCAACAATTTGGGGAACAATTTGATTGCTATTAAACACTCATTTGAATGTATTATTTGTGCGAATTATTCATTCAATCTGTTATTAATTGACGACATTTTGTCACATGTTTTATATACGATATTCTGATTACTTGTATAAGTAATCCCCAAATTATTTGTATTGAAAGCACATCAATGTTCTTCTCTGAGCACATATATTGAGGACAGTAGTGACAGACAAACCACTAATATATTAAACAAATCATTCACTAAATTGTATCATAAAATGTAATTATAAATGAGAGGCAAATCAGAAGCAAATCAATCAATTTGTAATTGAAGTCCAAAAAGAAGTAATGTTTGGATACGTTTTGAGTGGGAATTAAAGCATTGGTTTTTGATTATGGAAGAGTTGTATGACTTTTTGAATGCATTTATGGCTTTTATAAACAATATTTCAATCAATTATTGAATTATTGATTTGAAGTCCGATTCAAATTGATTACTATATTAAATGAAACGTGAGATCAGATCACATGCAATACCTGTTAAAATCATAAATGAAACACAAATACAACAGAAACACACAAATCATAATAAATATCAAATAAAACCAAAATTAAATTAAAATGAAGCGATTGTTTAGTTAATTGTTTGAATCAATTATTGATTTGTCGGAGGAATTGAAGAATATATATAAGTAGTGCTCAGGAAATCGCATTGCATGACAAGAACTATGGTTCACATCAGTCAAGACTTTATATGATAAGTGGTTTTTGGATGGTTTTTGAGTTTTATAATGAGTTCACCAAAACATTAAGTGATGAACGACTAGCTATAGTCGTGTGTGTAATACCTGTTGCCTCCGGACATATAACTGTTCCCGCCTGAAGAATACGAATTGCCTCCTGAGGGCGAGTAGTCTCGGCTGCGGAAACTCTGTCCACTAGTGATCGATACAAATATGCATTACATGTCAGTTGCAGTGCTTGTCGTGTGTGTGGTATTCACAGCACATTATAAGTCGATTTACAAATTGGTTATCAAATGTTTTCAATCGATATATAAATTGTCAAAATTGTCATAAAATCAAATGTCAAGTCATTGAATACCTGCGGCCCTGACCGCCACCTAAGGGCGATCTGCTTCGGTAGTTAGGGTACGAACCGCCGCCTCCGCCGCCACTCGACTTGTAGTCCCCGTGACCTCCACTCGACCCGTAGTCTCTGCCTCGAGAGCTACCGCCGCCTCCGCCGCCACCAAACCGATCGCCCCCTCGGTCTCCGAAGCGACCGCCGCCTCCGCCACTACTACCGCCTCGTCGGTCGCCGCCGCGTCCGTACGGTCCGCCCCGACCGCCAAAACTGCCGCCACCGCCGCCGCGACTGCCACCGTAACCCCCACCACCCCTGGGGCTGCCGCCAAAGTCGCGACCGCCGCCACGACCTCCACCTCCGCCGCCTCCAAAACTGCGCTCTCGACCAAAGCCTCCGCCGCCTCCACCGCCGCGTCCGCCACCGCCGCGACCGCCGCCACGACTGGATCGGCCTCTGGAGTGCTCGACACGCAGTTTAGAAGACGAACCGCCGATCGACGAGCCATTCATATCGCGGACGGCGTCGTCGGCGTCGGACTCTCTCTCGTACTCCACGAACGCAAATCCGGGCGGGTTTTGGGCGACCCATACGGACGTCAGTTTCCCGAACTTCTCGAACTCCTTCTCGATCTCATCCTTTCGGACCGATTCAGTGATCCCTCCGATGAACACCCGGTTCTTCCTCTCAAGCATTTCACGCATTGAATGACAGGCTTTGCGACACTCTTTCGGTGAAAATCAAGTGATTATTATTATTTTGGTTGACGAAGAAATTGTTGACACGATTTATGTATTTTCAACGCTTTATTGCAATCAATGTTAACAACAATTCAATTGATTACTACTTTTCTCACTCAAAATGAAACCTATGTTTAAACTCAATGTCTCTCAAACCGATTAGAGCTCTCAACGCATCCAATCATTGCATACTTTGCCCAATACTTATCACTATTTGTGCCATACATTCACTTTAATAGTCGTATATTCGGCCCATAATTTAGATTATAATTGAGTTAAGTGTTAATTAATAGTTATTTGTCTGTATTTAATGATTGAAAGCAAATATGGGGCGAATGCCGGGTAAATACCGGCGTTTGGGTTTCATATGTAGAGCTCTAGTCTTTGATGGAGTCTAACAAAAGAAAACACCCTTTAAATGAAAGCAATGCTCACATAATGTGTGCCATCTTTTGCCCATTCATTCACTTATATTACAGAATATTCTTTACGTTTTGCACATCTTTGTATTTATATTAGTTTTAAGACAAATATTTTAGAAAAATCTATTGTGAATTAAATATATGAACGTATATGTCCATGCTCACATAACCTAATAACTTATTAGTAATAACTAATAAGTAATAGAAGTTTGCATATTAATCTAGAAATTGATCTTGTTCATTATTTAATTTTAATATTAAATAGGAATTCTAATTTAAAGAATGAAAAAAATCGATGATGATGATTTGTTTGCGGCCAACAGATGGCCAGTTATTATATAAGTAAATATATGCCATATATTTAGTGATATTTTTTTGTTTGCAAATTAAAGTCAGAATAAATTGTCTTTATACGAGTAGGTCTTTAATCTGAGTGCATATAAAAAGTATAATTTAAATATTCATTAAACAAAACACAAAAATAGTTAATGAAAGATAAGACTAGTTATTATACAAAGTTTACTTATAATGTTTATCTAACGTATCGTTGTTTTATTACTCATTAACATTCGGGTCTTTTTTTAATAAGAAATACTAAATTTTATTTAAATTATTAAATAAACAGAAAATCATGTAAAGATACTGTATATAACTAAATTTATTTTTGAAAATTTCAATCAAAATTCATTAAGAATTTGATTTTGTTATATAATTAACATTTCTTTGTATTAATATTCAGCGCAAGAATTTAAAGATTGATAAAAATATTTCAAGTGATTAATAGATATAACCAGTGGTTTGGGCTGTAATGCTATAGTTAAGTGAAAGAGTCGCCAAACAAATCAATGCGTTGAGAAAATAATGAATATTTAATGCATTTTATATTTAATTTTCAAATAAGATTAACTCGTTTTTGGTATAAAATTTGTTAAGCACTTAAGTCGACGTCATTGCAAACATCAATCACTGAGTTATGGTTTGATTCAAAATAAATTGTTTAATACATATGAATGATTGCAACTCTTATTTAATTTAAACCTAAAGTCAATTCCTTTAAATACTACACAAGTTTGTATTCATCAATAAAAGAGTCCTTAATATAACATAGATTTGATTCAATACAACATTTTCCTTAAAATCTATACATTTATATCGGAATTGCATTAAATGTGAAACGAAGTGAAAGTGAGAGAAAAGAAATATTTATTATTAAGCGTTTGTTTTAATCGAATTCCTGTTAAAAAACAATTCTTGTATTAAATCTCAAGTCTTATATTTTAGGCCAAAAAAGCGCCCAAAAGAGTGAAACGGATCTCAATTACAGTTTAGTTGTAAAGCGAAGGCCAGAGGAAACTGGAGTTGGAGTGACTGTAGTGTCAGAGACTGTATTTTAGACATTAATTCCATCATCTCATGTGTTCATGGCTTCAGATATTTGAAATCAATGGCCACTCAAATGTCTTAGCAGTCAGTGGAGGGCATATCACCATCAGAGCAGATGCCGGTGACAGACACCACACATCGGCGCGCTTTGCCATTCATCGCTATTATATGCACTCTATATCTAATACCCTATTGTAATGCCTCATAATATCAATAATTACTATTTTATGTGATATGAGCCCCTATAAGATCATCATTTCTGGTGTTCACATAAAAACTTTGAATATATGGGCGAATAAATGTTCAAATAATCGATGAAACAGTTGCCCGAGATTTATACAAGAATAATAATAATATTAATAATAATATTAAATGAATGTTTTTAATGCAAATCTTGTTAGCAATAAATGAATTATTATACAAATGAATATCGGTTTCAATAGAAAGGGATGTCTGTCTCTAACAATGTATTATAAAAGGGGAATCAAAAAGTTTAATCTTTTGGCATTCAATGGCAACATTTGTAGCTCTAAATTATGCTAATATTTCATTTGGTTTGAACTAATTTTCATGATTGCATACAGTATTGCATTGCATTCCCAATATAAACGTCGGCACAGATTAACATTTTGTGTTGAATTAACAAATACTCTATTCTTTAGTCATTTTGCGCTTATATTAAAATAAAAGGAAAATTTTCACTTGTTTTTAATGTTTAACAATAAGTTGTATACGAAATAGTATTTAATATTTAAAGTTATATAACACATGCCTTTAATATAATGTTATGCTTAAAACGTGAAAATATATAAATGTCTATTAACTCTAAAGTTAAGCTCAGATTCTGTGAGCTAATAATAAAGTAACTTTAAATGACATTCGGTGTGAAAATTGTTTGAATTATAATATTTATATCATTAGTCTTTTAGGTCTTTGCTTTTGCCTCACTTATGATGAATTAGTTTTTGCAAATGACGGCACATATACTCTCTATCCTCACTATTGAGAGCAGAATTTAGCCAAACTTTAGATCATTTCAGTGCCAATGTTTTATATGTTTGTCAGTCCGTAATAATTGCTTTTCTCCTCTCTTTCTTTGTTATCCCAATTCTTCACTCGATCTCTGTTTTTACACACATATTAACGCTTAACTCACAGCTAGCGATACACCAAAAGCTTTCACTCTTATACTTGGTCTTATTCTTATATAAATACATCAAAAAATTAATTTAATACTGTATATAAAATATTTTATCTTATTTTATAATAATTATTTTTTTAAAATGTTTAAGATTTTTGTTAAGTTTGACTTTATATATTATTACATTACAACTAAATTAATTGCCAAATTGTCTTTATATTTAAATATAATTTATCCAAATGTTTAAATTGTTTTCTTTTATACTTCTATATAAGTGATAAATTTGAAAATATGTTTCAAACAATGTTTATAATACATACACAAAGAGTAAAACTAAAATAGAGTCAATGTTTTAGAATAAGAGAGAATGATATACAATATGCAGGATTTCCAACACATTATTTTCAGACATAAGAGAATTGTGTTGTTTTATTACTTTCAATGTTTTCACAAAATAAAGGACAAGATTTAATTATTTAAAAGTATTCATTAAAGGAGATTAAAGTCAAAAATTATTTTATGCTTTTAGTCAAAAATTTTTAACAATTCTTAAAGAATCACTTTTTGTTGATTATATTCATTAGTATTGTTTTCATCAAATTCTTTATTATAATAATAATTATAAAATATTTGAAATATATTTGGAAAGTTTTGATTTAATGCTAAACAATGTTGGTTCACATATTTATAGTTTATAATAATGAAAAATGTAA